TCTTTGCTGGAGGAAACATCATCCAATAGTTTCTATTGAAAGGAATCATGCAAGGGATACTCTTTTTTTGGGGGGCAGAACCAGGGATTGAATTCAGGCCCTTGCGCTTGCCAGGGAAGCGCTTATTCCACTGAGCCATCTCCCTGGGATACTTTAAGAACTGTTTATACCTATACATCTAGCTAGTCATAACAGCAGAGATTGTAGATGGACAGAAATTACAGTTCTACCAACCTACTAAATTAGACATTGTGTTATTTTCATGAGAAAGCTCAGGCCTAGAGACATTCATTAATGTGTGCTAAATCACACAGCTGAGAAGTAGCTGAACTGGAATTTAAACCCACACAATCTGATGTCTTGGGGCTGGTTGAGATGGCTCAGTGGTCTAAAGCACCTACTTAGAACAAGCTTAGCAAAGCACAGGAACCTTGGTTCAATCCCCCAGCACCACATGCCCCCTGGTGGGCTAAGCTGGTCACACACACACACACACACACACACACACACACACACACACACACACAAATCTGATGTCTGGGCTTGTCCTTTAATGGTCATGCTATACTCTTTCCTATACAGTACAACTGAATGATATATAAACAAAGGGTCAAAATACACAGATAGAAGCTAGATCAGATTTATAATGAAACTTCTTTGATGTTATAAGCTAAATTTTGTTGCTGTTGTCATTGTTTTATTTTGTTATAGAAAATTTCAAACAACTCATGTATAAGTTTTACAGTTATGAATATTTTTACCCTTTAAAAAAATGTTTTTGGCATTACTGGTAATTTGAGCCCAAGGCATTTACACTAAGCTACATTCCTAACCCTTTTAATTTTTTATTTTAAGATAAGGTCTTACTAAGTTCCTATCTTGCCCAGGCTGGGCTGGAACTTGTGAGCCGCCTGCCTCAGCCTTTCAGAGTGCTAGGATTTCAGGTGTGCCCTGCCACTCATAATTCAAGGTTAGACTGTGAAGAGGAAAATGGAAATGTGTCCTGACTGGGAGGGACCTGAAGGCAAAGTCAGTGGCCTTTAGGAAGCCTGGATGGTAGGAAGAACTAAGTCTAGTGCAGAAAGCAGTAGAGGTGCTAACAGGATAGTGGGTATATTTTCAGAAAAAGAGATATTCTATGGCTTTCTTCTGAGAATGCAGGTAAGTGTGCCCAGAAGAGCTACAGTGAGAAGTAACTTGGTTCTCACTCCCTCTCCCAACCCAGGTTCCCTAGGCACTGCAGGCCGCGTCTGTAGCAAGACATCTAAAGGAACAGATGGATGTGAAATCATGTGCTGCGGCCGAGGGTATGATACAACGCGGGTCACTCGTGTCACCCAGTGTGAGTGCAAATTCCACTGGTGCTGTGCAGTGCGGTGCAAGGAGTGCAGAAACACTGTGGATGTTCACACCTGCAAGGCCCCCAAGAAGGCAGAGTGGCTGGACCAGACCTGAAGCTACAGATACCTCACTCATCCCTCCACTTCAAGCCTTGCAACTCAAAAGCACAAGAACCTTGCATGCACACCTTCCTCCACCCTCAACCCTGGGCTGCTACAGCTTCTATTTAAAGACTTGGAGAGTAATCCAAAGGGACCATAGTGTCCTAGCTGGGTCCTTAGCCCTGGGAAGGAGTTGATAGGGAATATAAGAAACTGAGTGGCTCCTTGGTTTCCCTCTGCAGATCTGAAGGCAGAGCAGAAGAGGTGTAGGGGGTCTTCAGAGAAATCTGAGTTGCACTAAAGTACCATTTTTCAAGGTCAGGACTCATTTTTCCTTTCTTTGCACTGGCTTCCCAATACTTGGGTGTGCAAGAGAAAGGATCCCTCGAGTCAGCTTCATTTTAATCCTGCCTTGGCTGAGGATAGACAGACAGAGATGAAACTGCATGTCTCTTTTCTGGAGACAGAGGAGATACCAAAAGGTGAATTATAACACTGTACTATGGAGAGACTGAGATTGCTAGACAAGAGTTCAGCTGTTTATAAACTGCTGTTTTAGAGGAGGAAAATCATATAACTGTACAAACACACATTCTCTGTTCTTCATGTATCAGGTAGCACTCTCTTTTGCTCACTTGCTGCCTGCTCAAACTGAGGTGGCATACAGTAGGCTCCCATGCCTAACAAATAGTGATGACAGCTTGGAACAGTGTTAGGAGAGAATAACTTAGGAAGTCTGTGAGTAGGTCTAGGGATTTTTCCCCATTCATTATTCTGAAGGTTAGCTATGTTTGGGAATCAAAGTAAAAATACTAATTCATAAAAGGGGAGAGGTAAACAGGCTGACCTTAAGAGCCACAAGAGGCCAGTGTACACTAGGAATGTAGGGTTCTCTGGTTTTGGTAATATTTTTTTGTTTTGAGATGGGGTCTTGTGTTGCCCAGACTGGCCTCAAACTTGTGATTGTCCTCCCTTAGCATCCTGAGTAGCTGGCAGGACAAGAGTGTGCCACTGCATCTGGTTTGGCTTTGGTAACTCTTAGGAGAGGACCCTAACCTTTGAAACTAGGAGTGGGGGCCAGTGTCTACGTAAAGAAAGAGAGCTGGGGCTTGGAGCCACAGTGGTAATAACTTAGAAGGTCCTCCCACTTATTCGGCAGATCTTTAGTGACTCTTCAAGTCCTGGTGATTGTTCCTGTTCACATTTGGAACAGAGGAAGATCCTTTCTATGCCACTACATTACGTAACAAGGTGTGAAGTAGTAGAGTCTCTAGAGATAGCAGACTCATTAGTATACTGGAGGATACGACATGCAAGTCCAAAAACCTTGATGTCCTCATTTACCTATGTGTGTTGACAGTGGTTCTCTCTTGCCTGTTGATATTTTAAAACAGCAGAGTGATGTAGAAATTTGCAGTTAATAACAGACCTGCATTGAAATCACAGCTGTGTCACTTGTTTTTATTTTTAGCAAGACAATTAACTTTTCCAAGCCTCCATTTTCTCACCTGTAAAATGTATGCATCTCAGGTACAGAGACTTAATTATGTTCCAAACTCCAGCCAACAGATAGGTACTTTTTACCAAAGCTCCTATCTAGTCAAGTCCATGGTAACTTCTCTAAGAACTTCAGTTTAGAACTGTATGATCATGACAACAGGTTTTAGGTTAAAGAATATACACAAGTTCTAGATACAGGCTCCCATTTCCTTTCCCAGAGTCCTCTCCAGCATCCCTTAGGGTCCTCAAATATTTGTGGAGGAACTTCATTCTTCACAGGCAGCAGAAGGTTGGAAGAACCACAGCTTTGGGCCGCGGAGGCAGATTTATTTGGATGATAAGACTAATATTTGTGTAACCTGCTGAGACCCGTGTGGGGGAGTTTAGGGTGGTTTTTCTTTTGGTGAGGGGATCTGCTCCAATTTTAAATCCATTAACACAAAACATGAGCTAATCAGAGCCCTTGTGGTCTGTGGTGAGGGGATGCCTGTGGAGAAATGAGACTGAGTGAGTCAGGCCAAGAGAATGTCTTCCTTGCGGGGGGGTGGGGGGGGGTCAATTGGAAAACTAGTCAGCCATTGCTGAGACTGGAGTAGGGGGAAAGAGAGTGGGTAAAGAAGAGCCTCTGATAGCTTGGGCTGGGATTAAGGGAAGGAAAGATTTGGGGGTAGTGGGGAGAAAAGTGGGTCATGGTGAGTCTGAACTCAAGAATAGTATACAAATACTGCCTTGTATACCCAGCTGCTGGGAAGAACCTCCAGTCCCAGCCAACTCCTGTTCTCCTAAAAACAACCAGGTTGCTGTATCAGTGATGGTATCGGCCTTCCTGGAGAAGCCAACCTGAGCTCAATCTACCTGTGTACCCTAATGTCTTTTTATTTGTGGCTCTCACCCTGTGGAAGGAAGTGGATGGGTCTCTCTCAGCATTTCATAGTCTGCACTTTCTCCCTGAACTTAATATTTAGTTTATAAAGACACAAGTTTTGCAACTTCCTATAAATGATTAAGAAGAGCAAACTGTCCACACAGAAATTGGAAAAATGAGGTAGATAAGCAAGAGAAACGGGATCATTTTGAGCCTCACTGCTGAACCTGGGTGGCCCCAAGAAGGAAAGATGGCTAAGCAATTAATTTTTCCTCTTAGTCCTTAGCTTGCCTCTGCATTCCGATTGGCTTTAGACAACTGGCGTTCATCCTGCATTATACAAACAAAAACTAATTTATTTGGAACAAGTCACAAAACTAAGAACATTGTTTGGTGCGGTCAAGGCTCCATTTAAATCTGTTGCTTCTCCATTCTGCTTCTAAGCACCCTCTCTCCATTCTCCACTTGATAGATATCTGTTCTTCCCATCAGCTGTGTCTTAGCTTCTCTCCTCTCTCTTACTCCTTATTGGTCCTCATTTCTTTAACTTCTGATATTTAGGTATAATAGATTGCAGCAAATACTACTTGGATGCAAAGTTAACTTAAAAGATACTACATATGCCTTTTAGTGAAGCCACATGAGTAGAGTAGTTCAACAGTGTGGCTCAGCCTATGGTTTTTCTTAAGAATGGCAGCCCTGGAGCTGGGGAGAGAGCTCAGCAGTCTAAGCACGTGCCTGGAAAGCACCAGGACCTGAGTTCAATCCCTGATACTGCATGCCATGCTGACGCCCATCCAGAAGGAGTGCCAATCCCAACACTGGGGAGGCTGAGACAGGAGGATCACCATGAGTCTGAACTGCGAAGTGAGACCCTGTATCTATTTTTTTTTTTTTTTGTGGAACTTGGGATCAAACTCAGGCCCTTGCACTTGCCAGGGAAGCGTTTATTCCATTGGGCCATCTCGCTGGCCCGAAACCCTGTATCTAAAACATTAATAAAAAGGGGAAAAATTTTAAAAAAAAAGGCAGCTTTAGTAAGAACAACTTATATTATCTTTGAAAAATGGCGGGCCAGCAAAATAGCTCAGCGGATTAAAGTGCCTGCAAGCAGGCGCAAGGGACGGAGGTTCAATCCCAGGGCCTGCTGTGCCAGCCCCACCCCCAACATGTGCTGAGACAGCAATTGAGACTGGGCGTGGTGGCACGTGCCTGTAATCCCAGCTCTTGGGAGGCTGTAAACAGGTGGATCATTGTGAGTCTGATCTAGTAGTGAGATCCCAAACACCCTGCAGATCCTTCCCTAAAAAAAAAAAAAAAAAAAAAAAAAAGAAAGAAAGAAAAATGGCAATAATCCATAGTCTTGCATAGAGGAATGGTAGCGAAGAGTTTTAGATGAATTAAAAGAATCAAATATTACCTTATAGGTCTGCAAAAAGTTATGGATCTAACTTACGAATGAATACTCAATGTTTCATTTTTATTCCTCTCTCACAGTATTTCTCCTTTTTCTCATATCCCTTTCTCAAGATCACCAACCACTAAGTCCTTTGCCAAGTTCTCAGGCCCACTCAGGACATGAGTTTTTTACATGGCTTATTAGAAGGCAGATAATAAGGATTTTTTTTCTCCTTTGGCCTTTCTGAGGTTTTTATTTAAGTGCTCTCAGTGGTGATAGTGCAGAAGCCCAAGCTAGCTGAGAAGAAGGGAGGATGCCAGGGAGAGCATGTTTCTCATCCCTGGGAGGCATTCAACCTAGCTCCCGCAGCCAAATTACAGCACCAGAGAACAATGTGATGCATTCCTGGGCAGGTCGGTGGGACCCTGGGCGCCTGGGCCTTGCAGAGAGAGGTGCCAGACACAGAGCTCTCCGTAAGCAATCCTGCAGAGCCGCCCCCTGGGTGCAGAAATGAAATACGGGAGAGCTTCACATTACACAGAGACCTGTAGCTCACACCTGGTTATTGATGGCCTCGGTGGAGGCCTCTGCCCCCACCTCCACTTGGGAACTGCTTGCTACTTCGGGGGTTGGGCATCTTTGAAGAATGCTGGTAAGCAAAAAAAAAGCTTCCTTCTCACTCTTTCTACACTTCTGGCAGCATGAGCACAGTTAGAAGGACACACAGACACAGATATAAGGTGCATCTGTAAGGACACGTACACGGCTTTCCTCAAGACACGTAAGAGTTGATGTAGACTCCCCAGCAATAAAAAAAGCAAACAGATTTCCAACAAATCCTTCAAAAGTCCTACCCACAGCGGGACCCACCCTAACAAAGGAATATTACAGAGTTTTATTATCAGCATGCAGGCACGTGTTTGTTTTCAGATTCGTACTCCCCTGGGAAAGGAAGAACACAGAAGAGATCAAAGGTGGAAAACTATCACCCAACCAGAGTGGCTGATGCTATATAATTTTTGGAGGCTGGTTCACACTCAAGATAGTGATATGCATCCTATGTTTTCTGAACAAAGGGGCAATTTCCTGTGACTGTAAGCAGTATATATAATTGCTAAGCCTCCTGCTTATGGCCTGTTACTCTTTTTAACTTTGATTGGATTAGAAAACAGTATAGCTTTGGATTCTATGGATGATTTGCATAAGAAAGACACTGAACAGTACCTTTACCGTGGTGAATGTATCACAGTTGCTGCACCCAGAAATCTTGTTGAAAACCTACCCTATTCTTCCAAAAAAAAAAGAAAACCTATCCTGATTAAAAGGTTTCAGGCAATAGTCCGTGGGGTGTCATATATATAATTCTCTCAACTCTGAGGTAGAAGCTTCTCATATTATGAGATGCAAAGATCTGTCCAAGGTGATGTGGACAGTGAGTAGCCAGAACTCAAGGTCTTCTGACTTCAAGTTGTGTGCTCCTCAAAGCCTGAGGAGACCTTGGATTAGGGGTGCCAGAGTACTGCTTTCTTCGGAACGGAAACTGCTACAAAATGTTCAAGACCAACAGAAGTTCTAGGACTGCCAGGACAGTGTATCTGAGCACAGTTTTCAAAGGAACAGCGTATGCTTTTTAGAACATCAAATCTCCTTTTTACTACCATAGCCACTATCACCTATGCCTATCAAGGGATTGCAAAGTATTTCACATTTAAACAACTGGCTTCTAGTTCTTAGTATTTTTTTTCCTCCCTTCAGATTAACCTTAATTTTATGTGATTCTCCTCAAGTGATGTTACATGTGTAGAAAGAGTGAAAGTGGCCATGAAAAGCCATGAGTGGAATTTTAAGACTTGGCTCTTAAGGTATGCATCAGAATTTCTTTTGAAACTTCATTCTTTTAAAAAATGTCAACCTCTGGCTTTTGAGAAAACAGGGAATGAAAGTGCTAAGAAATGTGCACTAACCCACCCAGAAGCCTACTTATGGCCTAGTAAAGATCTTGGGACTTCTACTTGAGAGGAGTAATTTCTTCTACATCAATATAAGGGGCATCTACCCTGCACAGAAAGCCTGTGAGAGGACAGACAACTGATTTGCACTTGCTCAAAAATTTGCTGCTCACAACCCCTCCTCCACCCTCATTTAAAAGCTGGACCCTGTTTAGGTGCAAGATAATGAGAAAAAGCTCCAAGAAAGGGTATGTACAAGGGGTACCCTTCCCTGTCCGACCCAGGAATGCATTCCATTACAGACAGCAAAAGTCCTGGGATACCCTACCTATCCCACTGGTGCACCCCAACTGTGAAGGCAGAAGAGAAAGTGGCAGGAACACAATGTTATCAATCATAGACTTGGGAAGCCACAGCTCCCTGACCTGGGGCCCTGCTTCGGCTAGGGGAAGAACACCTCAGGAAAACAATCTACCTAGAGTCGGGACTTGCCCCAGCAAACCTTACTTTTGGTCCATCCATCTTGGCTCTCACTGCTCTCCGCTTCCCACCCCCACTGCCTCCGCATGTGGGCTCAGAAGTCATCATCTAAGGAATTCCACTGCTCACCTCCTGCATAGCAGCACAACCCCATGAGGCCACACACCAGACGGAGGGGATAAAAGTACGAGGTCATGGCTTGTAGCAAAAGGCTTTTTCTTAAACTAACCCTGACTCCTGGAAAAGAGGCAGAGCAGGAGAGTGTAGGGGAGCTGCTGATGACAGCAGCTTCATAGGTCTTGTGTAAAAAGAAAGGAAAATGGTAATAGCCTCAGTGTAAATTTCCCCATTCCTATCGCCTGGTTTACATCTTTTTTTTTTTTTTTTTGCGGTATTAGGGATGCAACTCTGGACCTTGCACTTACCAGGCCCATGCTTATGCCGCTGAGCTATCTCCCCAGCCCCTTACATCTACTTCCTGAAGGTTAAAATAGAATCCAGATTATCACCCAAAGGGTTAAGGCCCTCCACTGTAGAGACTCCTTCCGCAGACTGCGCACACACCCAGGTGAAGGCCATCCCTGCTACAAGCTTAGGCTCCCTGGGAACCTAAGGTGAAAGGAAAGGGTGGGAAGGGCGAGGTAGCACTCAGAGGAAATCGGGAAGGCCACTGGTGGGCCTGTGTTGAGTAAAGACAAGGGAATGGGGGAAGAGCATCGGTTCTGGTATTAAGCTTGCAGGGTGACAATGTACATAACACACTCACGTACAAAAACCAATTTTATTTTATTTTATTTTATTTTATTTTATTTTATTTT